TTTATTCTTCCTTTATTTTATTTTCATCAAACGATCCTGATAGAATACTAAGAAACAACGGAATACCCAACTTTTTACAAAAGACATAGAACACATAAAACTACACTATGAACACTGTGTATTTATTTTTTGTTTTGTTCAAATTTAATCCAGTTGATTTTAAAATACGGCGAGTGTAGGACCCGATGCAGCGGCGCGCTCGCGCGAAAAGGAAAGCCCACGTTATTGAGCTACTCGCTTGATACCTATTTAGTTTCTTTTCTTCGGAATCGGCCTCCGCTTTTGTCCTAAATTAAGACAGAAACCTTGTCTCAATATACGAAAGTGTCGTTGCTACCAGACCAAACAGTTGCCACGGACGTCGGAAATGATAGCTCCTTGTTGCTTCCCTCTCGGCTTCTGTCGACTGTTAGAAGTCAGTATTAAAGTTAGCCCCCATACATTAAATAAAGTCTTTGTGAAAAAACAACTATAAGGTAACCTACGAGAATTAAGGGTTATCGTTACTTATAATCCCGAAAACTGGTATTTATGTAAATGTTTTCTAATTAGAGACTTCGGGCAACGCCGGACATTCTATTGCCCCCATGCTGGTTAGTAAAATCGGCCCGGCGGCCCGGTTTTAATTGACCTACGCGATGGACGGACAGTCGGGAAGGGTAGAACGACGGGTGTTTGACATAGAGCGACGCGGAGTACTACTACGCGGCAAGCACACACAACCGTACTCCCACTGAGACGGATTTGTTCAGATAAAAAAGGCCAACCATAAAAAGTTTAAGATCGTGTGAGCTCGAGCCTCAAGAGGTAAGAGGGATGGCGATGGAAATTTCGAGAAAAATCCCAAACGTCGCATACTACAAACACTAAATAAAGTTTCACCCGGGTAAAATTATTATAAATCAAAACGGAAGCTTTTACGGACGTCTCCTGAGGGGTATCACGACCACAACATTAAGTAAACTTTCATCCGGACACATAAATAAAAAATAAGAGGACCCATTATCCTCAAGAAAACAAAGAACAATCTCCAATTGTCCAACATATATTACATTATTTATCGGACTTATTTACGTTTTTTTTGACAGATCAAAAGACAGACTATATTGTTATTTATGTTGACAATAATCGAACAGTTTGACTACTTTATACAAAACGCCGAGGTCCCTGTTTTTTACAAAACTTTTTCCTCGTTTTACCGGGGAGAATAACGCAGTTTCTTCCAAACGGGTCCTGGGGGACGGGGGATTGGGTATCTAGACACCCAACCTTATTACAGTTAGTGGTGTTGATCGTACGCAATAAAAGGGGACACGTTAAGAGGTACAATGAGTTGTTATTGTGTAATTAAATAGGAACGACAAATAAATAGAACAAACTAAATGTATGTTATGTTCAACCTCAGGCAGTCCTGGCTCCCAGCCTCGTCCGAGTAAACCGAAATGTCTTAGTGAATGTGGGCCTTCACTCATAAGAGAGGCGAAGCGAACTGCTTTGGGGCACTACTTAGGAAGTTCGGAGACCACTAACCTCCCTCACACGAGGCTCCCAATGCGGCTGCACAGCTTGTCGTGAACTTTTACCCTACCTTGGTGCCCGTCTGACAGTTTTGACCTAAACTTGCCCAGGTGAGGCCAGCGGGTGAGGCAGGGGTCATCTGAATGTGTACGACCGATAACACAAAGCGTTGTACAGAGATAGATACCGTGCAGAAGACCTCAACATCAAAATTTTCTGCAAAGAGGTACTAAAGGGTATTATTCTTGCAACGGTCAAATAATTTGACACATGTAGGGCACCTCCAAACTCCTATCCTTTGTGAGTTTAGAATTTTGTTATTAATTATTTACCACTTTTAACTGAACACGGGTATTACCCGTCGTAATTATTATGAGGGTGTACCGGATTTCCAGTCTTCTCAACATAAATGTCGACTGGACTACAGACACTGGGAGGACAACAATTAACTATTCGCGACTTATGTACGTGAACAGTGCCAAGTCCTCTGTAACAAACGTTATACCGTACGCATCGGTAAGTTAGTGAGGAATTCTATCTATATGAAATAACTACGGGGCCTTCAACCTTTGTAAACGCACTGTATGATTAACTTAAGATGACGTGTTCGTGTTTGGTCGTCCACTTTCATTCCTTTCACCACTGACAATATGGACGTTGTTTACACTGCCATTTATCTCAAGGGAGCCAGAGCAGAGGGCTTAAAGGGCCGCATGCGGCCCGTGGGCCGCGGGTTGCCAACCCCTGGGTTAGGGTATTGTTCTGCACGGACATTTTAGTGAGACGGACTTCCTGTCTCCGCCGGTCTGTTTTTGAGATGCTAAATAAAAGTCTAGCTTGTCCCTTTGATACCCCGCCTCCGACTCCCATCTCTCGGCACCACACTATGCCACAATTTTAGATGCGGATTTTGTTAAACTAATACGTTTGCGCTGTGGACCAACACTATACGGGGAAGGGGGTAGCAATAAAGATAACACCATTTTACACAACATAACAGAAATAATATCGATAGCAGCGTCCAGAGCAACCACCTTGGTAACAATGAAAACATTGTATAGACACAATTTCCTGAAGTAATCTTCGTAATAACTAGCAAACTAAAGATCATGTACATCCACTGCACACATAATCTGAAATAACAACTAATATTTCTCGCATCAAATGACATCAAAACGCATTTTAATGGCCAAACTAACTTTAAAATAGGCATTTTACACCGAGAATAAAACGAAGTTCGGCCATGTTTTTTTTTTCTGCAGGGAGAAATTTGAAGATCACGTGACAGACGCCAGCCATTGGAATGAATGGTGAAAAAAAACGTAGGTATCTTACAATTTCAGAGGCGTTTTTGTAGAAATACTACGTCCTACGTTGTGGACCAACGTAGTTATTACACGTTTTTTTATGAGACTGGGTTGGGCTCTCTGCAGTGAGCGCACTGTGCTTGAGGTTCTGGTTTATTATCCGGTGTTGTGTTGAAGACTTTTCCTGTTGATATGTGGCGCCATTTGGGTTTGAGACAGCAATTGACTGTTTAGAGTTATTGATGTACCTAGTCTAGTTTGCCTGGAGCGATTTGGAACCTCAGGTTTTCCATCTTTCTTAAGTAGAGGAATGTGCAAACACCTCTTTCGTGACAACCTTTGCTCGGATACAATTCAGTATTGTCAAGGTCAGGCTTGGGGAGGAACGAACCACATATAATGGGATTGCGTAATCAGGTTACAAAAGGGAAATACTAGCAGGGTTACAATGTTTTAACACATTTTAAAATAAAGAACGATTTCAAGTTTTACGAGGCACTTGCGATAACATTAAGTTAGTGCTGTGGATCAAATAACATATTTTTGGCATGAAGTCCGCCAATTTTCTCACACTTAGCTAAGCATCTACAAAGCCGCTGTCGTGGAGAGCCGCTGTGATTCACTTTCTTGTTCCAATGGTCTCCAGATGTATCCACTTTCTCTGCTAAACATCTATGTAAACATCCGCGACTTAAGTATTGGAGGAAGTTTGGGTGAAATTCAGAAATCTGATTTATTTGCGTTGACACGTTAACGTTGAAAGCCATAGTAACGACTCCTCACAAGTCTCACAAATGGTGAATAGAGTCTCGTGTGAAACCCAAACTTAAACAAGGCATTTAGTGTTTGTTCAGATTTAGTTTTTAAGGGCTCTTGTTTGTTAGTTCCTTCTTTTCTAAGGTTACATTAATGTTGTCCATAAGTCACAGAAAGTAATCAGATTACTTTTATTATGTGATACTTAGATTTACTTACTGATTACATTTTCTTTACAAGGTAGTGCAGGTTATATTTAAAAGTAATCCTCTCCACCCAGGTCGAGGTAAGACATTTTAAGACATAAAAAGAATTACATTTTTGAGTTGATGGTATCTATAACTTCCAAAAACCGGACTTTAATCTCATAGTATGTGCACCATGACTGAATTCAAAACTCTTTTGTAACACATCCATGTCATGCTTGTCTGTACAGTAAATGTCTTAACACTTAGATTTAAAGTGAGCACAGAGAAACTTTCCTCCTTCAGCAGATGGATGGGAAAACAACCTTCTAGTGTCAAACCCACACACGTATCATTCTACACAGTGACGCTCAAACATCACAGCGAAAGAAAAAGAAGAAAGGCACCTTTTTAAAATGGAGGGGTACTTTAAGATTTCATTGTTTTCTGGAGCTTTAACGCAAAGGTTGAATAGGAATAATGCCCTCTGATAAATGTTAAAATCTGGGACAGAAAATAATATAATTATTCTTTTTTCATCTCTTTAAAAGGGTAAGTCAACGCCTTGGTAACTTACATTTAGTGCTAAAAACAGCATGCCGCCTAAAGCAGACCTATTTCTTAGTTTATTTAAACATGAATGGTTCATTTAGAAGTCTTTAAATCCTAAATTGTCCAAATTCCAAATGCTCAAAGACATTTTCCATAGCTTTCAACTTCAGAGGCATTTAAATATTGTGAAACTGCTGAGTCCCCACAACTGTGAAAGGCCACAGACAGCAATAAGCAGTAATGCAATGCTCTAATTATCTCACACGCTGTACAGAAGAAATGAAGTCGAGGCTAAATTAGTTGAGCCTTTGCTCTGGGGAGGGGCTCTGTGTCTTAAGATGTATATTTTATTTAATACATTTTCCTTGCCATGATAAACACTCAACACCATTCATTATGTAGTATAAACACGCATTACTAGACTTTGTGCCCCTGAAATGAATATGTGCTACTTAAAGTAGCAGTGGTGGGTAAACAATAGCGTACTCAGCCCTTCAATGATGAAGCTTCCCACTACCCCTATTAAGACATGGCATCTTTATACAGTTTATCCCCGCTGTTTTATGAATTCACAATTACACCTCATTAATGTGTCATTTGCATAATTACAAGGAATGGGGACACCGTTCACAGTGGGAATACACATTACCTTGAGGGGGGAAAAGATGCAACACAATGTTGTGCGCTGTAGCAGCAGAGATCGTGTTGTTCATGCTTTAAGGTGTGTTGATTATTAATTAATTATAATCAAAAACTGGGACAAAATTCACTTCTGTGTGCTGGTGGAATTGTCTTTTTACCAGCAATGCCCATTTTACAGCTGGAATTCATAAAAACTGCAGATACCTTTTCTCTTATTTTTTTCTTATTTTTCCAGCTGCATTAATTCACAAAGATTAATTCTGTCTCATCATTGGCGTGAAATAGGGTGTGAAAATGCGATATCTGCAATAAAAGCTGTGAGGAATTCAGCGAAAGAGCTTATTTGGCCTGCACAGGTACTTTAACCCACCCTCTCTAGGTTATTTGTAAGATAAATGAAACCACAGAAACAGATGACAGGTCTTTAGCTCAACTATAAAATGCAATTAACCAGCAAATGAGGCCAGGCAAGCCACTTTGACCATTCGGTATGAGCAACAGCTAGAGGGGAAGGAGGAGAATGGTAATTCATACCCAATCTGCGAACCGCAGCCTTTAACTGGGGTTGATCAATCGCATTAGACAGTTAAACGGCTGCTGATTTGGGTATTCAAATGTGTTTGATTCAGATTTCTGTGAATTTCTGTCATTGCTCGCTAGCAGAAATGATCACAAATTTACAATTTAACAGTGGTCTGTTTATTTAAATAACAATATAATAATTATTAAAAAAAATCTAAAAGGCTCCAAATTGATTACAAATGTTGCATCAAGAAAATGAATTTATTAAGTAATTACAATTAAAATGTATCTTTTTTATTTGACAAAACTAAGAGTCTAAAGCCAGACCAAAGTCAATTCACGAAATAACATTTTATGACCTGATGATGGGCTTAAAAAAAAATCCAGTGTCTACAATACTGAAGTGCCTTAAATCTGCATTCTCGCTTATCATCAGGGGGTGAATCCACTCGCTGCTAGGAGTCAGATTGTATAGAAGTATGAAAATATTACCCTTTTTTAACCCTTTCACATTAGTTTTTTTAGCTCATGAAAGTTACTTGTAGTTGCCTAAAAATGTCTGATTAAGTGTTTGCTTGTACTTTGCTCTGACCGGTATTTCACTGCTGGTCCCAAAATGGTGACATCCAATATGCGCAAAATTATGCTTCAAATCCGCATTCCAAAAACCAAAGGGAAACTTTACAGGTACTATATCCTCTTCTGATTCAAAGTTTATGCCTGGATGTGATTGTATAACTTTATAGTGGTTTCCCTTTCCATCACTCAGGGTATAATCTGCTATATCTCTGCAAAGCATCTACATCTCATCAGGGAAAATGTGCAGCTCAGTGCAGACCGCCCACCCTCCACAAACCAACCCACAAGCCCCAGTGGTCGGATACCTTGCCAAGGCCTTTTGTTCTCAGCCATAATACATCTTTATTAGTATAATCCCGCTGCTCTTCTGCTTTACTCACACTCCATTAGTCTTTATCCAAATCATGTAGTTACAAACAGACTGTCATTGAAGGCAGGAGGAACACTCTCTGGAAATCAACGATGGATAATTGCTTTAACTTTTCCACTAACTGTTGGTGCATAAAGCCTTTGGCAAAGAGACAACAAGCAGCAGCCCACATTTTGGATCTGAAGCCCTAAAATGAAAAGCCTCTTTCTGACAGCAACACTGGTTC